CGTGTCTGGGTGGAAGTGTCTGGAAGGGCAGGCCTGGCTTCCAAATGTGAAAGCAGGATCTGAGGCAGGGAAGGAAGGCCAGAGAACCAGGTGAGGGACCAAGAGAAGCAAGGATGGAGAAGAGGATGGCAAATCTTTCCCAGGGAGGGAGCCAGAAATCAGAAGATTAGAAGTTGCTGGGGGTAATGTGGAAAGGGGAAAGGGAGACCAAGCCAAGCGTTCCTACTCTGTGTGTGTGTGTGTGTGTGTGAACCTGCAGGATCCAGCAGCAACCCTGCCTAGAGGAGGGATCCCTCTAGGCTGGGATTGGAGGAGGCGAGAATAATTAGAAGGTATCAGGCCAGTTTGCAGATCTGATGGTCCTGAATTTCTTAGCCTAGAGAAACAGTTCTGCTTACCATCACACTCACTCACTGCCATCCAGTCAATGCCGACTCAAAGTCACCCCACAGGACAAGGTAGAACTGCCCCCCATGGGTTTCTGAGACTTTAACTGGTGGTTTGCAGCCCAAGGCATAACCATGACGCTGCCAAGTGTACTAACACAGGGAATGTGTAGTACCTCCGAATGGGATTCATCAAAAATAGTTTGGGGTACTTAAATAAGGTTTAGCTTTCTTTCATTGATTTAGAGTTTAAACCCAACCCAAACCACTACTATAAAGTCAATTCCCACTCCTATCCATCCGATGTAGGGTTTCAGAGGCGGTAAATCTTTATGGGAGCAGGCAGCCTCATCTTTGTCCAGAGGAATGGCTGGTGAGTTTGTACTACCAACTTTGTGATAAGTCCAGCACCTAATCGCCAGGCTTTTGCTGTTTTTAGATAGTTTGTTTTACAACTTTTTATTGCAACTTGGATCAAACATCAAACATTATTTTCTGGAAAAACAAAAACAAAACAGGGTTTCTGTTGAATACCCATACACATTTTGATTCATGACCTTGATTGCTGCTGGTCCCACAATGTGAAGGCGCACTTCCTGCTTCCTCCCTGGGTTCGTGTTTCCATTCATCCTTCCTTCCTAGCCTTTCTGCGTGGTGGACAGATGCTACCCTTTGATCTCACAAGGTTGGTCGACAGGGTGTGTACCTCCTGGGTGTTACTGTTCACCTTATAGGTCTGTTGTTGGTCTGAAAGTTGAGCTACTTTTCTGGGAGGGGGGTTAGGGGATGAGGCGGGGGTGGGGGTGGGGGGGTGTTAGGGGTTCAGTTCCACACTTGAGGAATGACTAAGGGCATGCATGGTTCTAGGGGGTGGGAAGGGTTCCACCAGTCTCTATCAGACCAGTGAGCCGTGTCTTTTTTATTATTTTGAGTTTTGTTCCATGTTTTTGGTCTGCTCTACCCAGGCCTTACTAATGTGATCCCTTTAGGAGTGGTAGGCAGGGGGACCCCAACACTATCCAGGTCTTCTGGCCTCGCAGCCCATCAGGTCCTGAAGGCTGGCTTTGTTTGAACGGATTGCTTCCTGTGTCTTTGGTTTCTCCACTCTTCCTTCCTCTAGATGGAGACCAATCGTTGCATCTTACCTGCCCATTCACAAACTTTCAGGACCCCAGTCACAACTCACCAAAGGAAGATGTAGAACACTGTCATGGTGGACTATTAATGATAAGCAGGTTTTTATAGGTTTCAAGATAAATAAAAATTCTAGAGTTAAAAAGTGCGTGTGTTTTTTTAAGTCCAAGAACTGGCAAATACTAACTTGGGGGAGTTTCTCCACGACAAACCCAAACCAAATGATGATTGGTGCGTGTGAAGATCTAGCCAGAGTGTTATTTGTATCATGAAAAAATGGAAATAACCTAAACACTCAACATCAGGGGATTAATTGGGTAAATTTTTGTTGATCCTGGTGGTGGAATTATATGTACCTATTACACATAATATTGGGGACAGGCCATGAAAAGATGCTCACTCTGTGCACATATACATACAGAGATAGTTATCTGTGAATTAAAACAAAGTACTTGTTTTAAAGCATTGCTTTAAGATCGCTTCCCTTCAATTTCTCAGACGACAAAGACAAAAAATGCAACTTTCTCCTCCTCTGAGTCTCATTCTGAATTGCCCAGCAGCTGTGACTTTCCTGCCCCAGATTCTGGGAGGAAAACACAAGTATTCTTACTGCACAGAGAATATACTCTCAAGATCCAGGAGCCCCTTTTCTACCCTTCTTGCACAGAAGGTCTGGGTCCCACTACCATCTAGTACTGACTCTACCCCCCCAATTGCATCCTGGGCCCGTTCTAGAACCTTGGCATCTTTGTTTTGCTTAATTGGGCTCATAGTGCCTCCTGCCTCCTTGCCTCTCCCTTGACTACCTGCGAGACAGCTCTGGCCCATTCTTGCCGGTTTCCTTGGAACCAGGCTTGGCAGCAGTCACAGCATTCAGATCCTGGTGCACCAGAATTGCATTAACCCTCTGCGGGAGGGAGGCAGCTGAATGACTGACAGCTGGAATGCTGCATCAACGTGGCGCTCTCTAGCTGTATCATTGCAAGGAGGCCCTGCTGTGGCGGCGGGAGCAACAGTGTGAGGGGAGTGAGTGATAGAACCAGCTAGCTCCGCCTGAAATTGCAATTTACTTCTGAGTCCGCAGCTTTGGGGAAGTGGAGGGATGACCCAGGCTGGCTCGACCACAGTCGTGGAAGGAAAAGAAACACCTGGCCAGCTTCTTGAAGGACAAGTCAGGAGAGGTATGAGCCAAAAGCTAAAGTGCTGTCCGTAGGGTCCCCTTGCTAGGGCCGTAGGCAGCACAACCATCTGGCCAGGCTCATGCCCCCTGCCATGACAAGTAATCCCTCTCCTGTTGCCCCGTACTTCTGCAACTGTCCCAGGGCTATGTGCGGCTGACGGACTGAAGGCGTGCCACACGCGCCTCTCGCTGTCCCGCTCACCAACACCCAGCCCCACAAGGCTTTTCGGAATTCCGTTTCTTCCCTTTCTAAGGTTAGCCGTGGGGCAGTCGCAGGAATAAGGTCTGAGAAGGGGGCGGGGGGATCTCTTCGGTCTGATTAGACCCGGGGCAGGGACCTGGCAACCCAAGCTGCAGAGGGGGTAACTGTGCGTTGCGAACATCCTCACTCCGCTCCCGATCACTGCCGTTGAGAAAGCAGAGGTCCTGGGAGTCTCTTGGCAGGCCCCGGAAAAGGGTTCAGGCTGGGACGTCCTCCGCAGGGCAGCTCCAGGCAGCAAGCCCGCTGGGCAGGCTTTCCGCTTCCGTCCCCCAAGCAGGTGAATGCCTTAAGGTGCTCACTTCTCAAGACCGGGGTACTTACTGTGAGGGCCGAAACCCTCCCTTCTTGCCACTCCAACTTGAAGCACCGAGCTGATTTTCCCAGCTGTCATCTGGTGTGGACCCCGGTGGAGGTTGAGGGGCCTTTGGCAAGCCCCTCACCTGCTGGGAGGATAGGCGTCCTCAGCCCCGGCCGCGTGGGCGAGAGGACTGGGTGCTGGGGGCTACGGAGCTGGGACACTGAGGCAGCGGGGAGTGCCTGCGGGCTGTCGAGGACAGGCTTCCTCCCGGGCGAGTCGGGGTGGGGGTGGAGTGGGAGCCGGCAGGCTGGCCCAGCGGTGGCGGTGCCGGACCGGCGGGGGTGGGGAGAGGCAGCCGCCCTGTACTTCCCCTTCACCGCTAGCTGTACAACAGCCTGATTTCCCCGAAATGATGAGGCGGCGCCGGCCAATCGGCGCCCGCACGGCTCCGAGGGGGCGGGGCCGGGGAATCCCGCTAAGTGTTTAGATTTCTCCGCCGCGCCGCTGCCCCCACAGAGCGCGCCACTCCTTCGCCGAGGTCGGACGTGCGCCCCAGCGGGCTC